TGGCAGAACTGTATGACCGGTGATGCTGCCCGCCAAACAACTACGACAATGGAAGATGTTGGGTGTCAGAAGGCTCCTCGGAAACTCTGTGACTTTGGGATGCTGTTTTTTCAAATAAGAGAAACTTATTACTTGAAGAAGAAAGAATCTGACTATTTGAAAAGAAAAGAACTTACTATTTTAAAAAAGCTTATTACCTGTTTAAAAACTTTAAATATGTAATAAAAATAAGTCTAATGTTTATTCAGCCGCGGTAGTATTTGATAGTCTCTTTTCTTTCGCTGTATTTAAACTTTGATTTAAACTTTGCCTTTGTTTTAGGTAGAAAAAAATACACTATCCATGTTCAACTAAAATCTACTTTTCAACCTAAAAGGTACATTATTAGAAAAGCGTATGATTTATTTTTCGTAAGAAATTTTACAAGTTGAGAAAGTCACTTGGCAGAACCCAAAAATGAAAAAAAATTGTAGGTAGGTGGAAAAAAGTTATTTTTACTTGTAAAGTAACAAAACAAGTAAACCAAAAAACTGAACACAATAACACATTTTGGCTAATAACTCAACGAGGAAATGGAACTTCAGCAAAATTCAACGAGCAACTTGTTGCCAGAAATTTCACGATTATAAGACGCCAAAACCACTATATACAAGTTTCTCACAGTAAGGTTGTCAAAAACGCCTTTATGAACCTAAATCAACGCTATCCCAAATTGCTCGCCGGACGTGTTACTGTAATTATATATATGGCCCATTCCAAGCCAAATCCCATCTTTTTGAACATCGACCTCTCAGATTTCTTTCATTTTTTGCTGGGTAGTAGAGTCTAGGCCAGCATAAAGAAGGCCGCAAAGAAAACCTGAAAAAGTGAATTCCCTGCCAGGTTACACTCACTCAAAGTTGCAAAATTTGCCAGATTGCCGCTTGACACGTCTATATTTGCAGATCTGTAATTTAGCTCGTTCTAAATAGGATTTAATGCTTTTTTTAAAATCAGATTTATCATGTTCTGAACGTTTAAATGCCTATTTATTATTATATTTCTGTTAAAAAGTCACAGAAATACAATAGAAATAAAATTTCAAAAAAACATTGAAAAGAAACAAAGTTCTAAATTTTTTTAAAAAGATACATTTTGTGCAGAATTTTTTGTTCTACAGCACTTCACAATTTGGTGATAGCGATTTTTTGCTATCTAAAATTACGAGTCAGAGAGGAGTGTGGAACTGAAAAAACCCACTATTTTTACTGTAATTCCATGTATTTTACAGTGAAGAAACCGTCCGGAGTTGCTTCTGAAAGTTGCAGCTGGCAGCTACAATTATCCCTTATGCTTCGAACGTTGAAAATTCGCTATCAGAGTTGTACTTTACTTTAATAATATAAACATTATTATTCTGCAGAGCTATAAGAGATAGTCTTCACTCCAGCGCTTTCTACTTCTTGTATTTCGTGGTTCTTGAGCTCTTAGAATTGTCTCTGTCTTGTACTCGTTAAAATTCTCGCTAAATCGCTTTTTTTTTTTGAAATTATGTGCTGCAGTCCTCCAGAAACACAAAAAGTCTTGAGAAAGACTTCAATCTAACAGTTACACTGGTAAAGCAGTGAGTTCTTTAACTTCTTTGCGACACCAAAATTTATACTGGCTACATAGTTTTGACAGAATAAAACACGAGAAGTAGAAAGCGTTGGAGTGAAGGCTATCTCTTATAACTCTGCAGAATAATAATGTGTTAATATTATTGAAGTAAATTACAACTTTGATAGCAAATTTTCAAGGTTTAAAGCATACGGGGTATTTGTTGCTGCCAGCTGCGGCCTTAGAAGAGGCTTTGGATGATTTTGCCACTGTGAAATACATGGGATTACAGTAA